TGCCATGCAGGAACATATGCACCATATGGTATTGTGAATACACAATTTATTCCCCTAATCAGATTAGACCATACCTGGTTTATATCTTTTACACATATTGTTTCTTCCTTCTTGGTTAGCTCATGGATAATAAGAACCCTCATTGAGTCCCCAACAAAATCAGAGTCCTTCGCCCACATTATTGGGTTATACTTTTCACTGAATTAATATTAAAGTTATTTAAATAGAAATATCCTAGGCCTGAAAGAAATTTTTTTTAAGGTCCGCTACCAGCTTATTTATCTAAGCAGTTCTTGTTTTGGCAGATTACAGTACGAGTGCCTTCTGGTGGCATTCATTTTAAATAACACATTTATGATATATAATATATCTATTTAAGTTCACCAACATAATTTGAGGCTTTTGAGTTTACCTGTAGCATACTAAAATAAATTTTTGTTTCCATATAATCATATTATACTCTTCCTGACTGTTAGACATCTAAAGTGATATAATATTAGTAAAAAGATACTACTCTAGTTAAACTGGAAGCAACAGCAGCAGTACACAATAACATATAATTCAGCAGGTGAATTGAGCTTAGAGCAATGCGACTGGGACACTATTTCGCGAAACTTTCTATGCCATAACTCGGGCTAAGCTGCATGGGGACCAGTACGGGTATGGTTACACAACATGGCAAATGTGTGAAAGGTAGGGTACAGGAATACGACTATACATATGTATGTTATGTACATTGATAAGTATTAAAATTAATAATTTATGTAAGGTCAATATTGTTTTTCATTTACATAAGAACAACGTATAAGAACTAGATGTGAACTCTAGAATATACTTCCAAGAAGTGTGCGAGCAGTGTTTTAAATTAAATCATACATTATATAATTGAATATACGCATGAATAAACATATGCATATATTCAAGAACTAGTAAGCATCCAAGACATTTGGGTATGGATACAGGTATATGTTGGATATGGGTACCGGGTAACATAGCCTTTGAGCATGACACAACATTGGACTCCTATGCCCCCTAGTATACACATGAACAAACATATGAATATGCATGAAGTGTTCACGAAGTTTGGTATGGATACAGGCATGTGTCGGGTATGGGTATGACTTCTAATTAGAAGCACCCAGGTAACATTGTCGGGTACGGGTTCAAATTGCTAATTCAGATTCTTAGGCCTGTGTGCGTGGCCTTGATTGATCTGGCCATAACTTTCTCTAAAGAAGTCCAAAATACATACCATTTTAAGTGATGCATAGATATTTAAGTCTAGTTTCAGTAACGTATTGGTTGATTTGAAAATCTGTGTTGAAAAGTCACTGGGGAAATACTGAGACATGGTCAAAGCTGGACTGCGTGAAGCTTTTAAGTTTAATAAGGCAACTAGTTAGTCAATGAGTCTTTTGGTATTTCTATGTCATTTAATTATCTTCTTGAATTCTACAAGTCTCATGCTTGAAGGGATGTTTCAAGCCTAAATATATCTTGGAGGTCTAATGGAAATCAGTATGTGTTGAGTTTGATAATAGTTAAGCCTTGTGCTTTTTGTTTGCTCTACATTTCATTGGTGGACTCCATTGAGTGTTGAGTGTTTATTTGTATCTCTAAGGAAGGGTCCCTAAAATGGTGATTCGTCGTATCCTAATTGGTCGACTAACACCTTTATCTGTCATTTAGTCTAAGGTGGTGTTTATCCATCTCAATCATAATGTCCAAGTATCAGAAAGAATAGATACATTATGATGATATGATCCACAGAAAAAGTAGTGTAAAAAAAGTCGTATTGCTCTCTCATTCATCGAATTTCATGTAATGTTTTTTGGTTTAAGTATCTTAACATCATGAGATAGGTACTTTAAGCAAGAGAAAAATAACACACCCGCATACATACACTCGCGCTCCCGCACCAATTCATCCCAATGACTTCGATGTGTTTTTAATCATGTGTAAAGGGCAAAATTTTAAGCAACTATATAAAGCTTCTGTAATGTTAATTTTTACAACATATACATGGGTAGACTATGTTGAAATCCTAAATCCTTTAAAATTTCATTATAGATAGTTGATGTGAATGGTACGGATTTCAACCTTTGAAATTTAAATTTTAAGTTTTGATTGATTTTATATACATTTTATCTCTACCTGGGGGTGTGCGCGGCTCTCGATGAGTTGGGTCCCCAGGTCTCGGGCCAGATCAGCCCAGCCCACAGCCTGCAATGGAGCGGGTTAGGGTCGTGGGTCACCCCACATTATTTTTTATCAATTTTTTCCCTTTTCTATTTATAATATATTCGTATATTTATAAAATTATACTTAATTTATATTTTTTACTATTTTTAACTCTTTAGAAACTTTGACATTAAACTTAATATATGTAAAATGAAAGTAAAAATTCAAATAAATAAAAAAAATGGATGGCATCATTTGCAGCATGCAAACAGTTCTTACTTCCTACTTATGCTATGATAATTTATGGTTATTATGTGCTAGTTCTTCAATGCCTATGCACGCCATTGTTGATTGGAAACTTAGAACTTCTACATACAAGTATATGCTAATACTCTAATAAAGTGAAAATATATAGTTATATGTGAAATAAAACATGCATGTTCCTAATTAATGAACACAAGTGTATTTGGCTCTACATCCATGAATATATCGCATAAGAAATGAACATGCAAATGTAAATTCACCCATGCGATGAACAATGCAAATGTAAATAAAGAGTTTTAAAAAACCCAGGTCAGCCCATGTTGGACACGGGCCAGTTACAATGCAAATGTAAATAAATAGTTCTAAAAAAACCTAGGTCAGCCCATGTTGGACACGGGCCAGTTCAATAATGGGCCAGACTTTTCTGGTCCGGGTTTTCTTTTCCGAGACTAAACCTAGACCCAACACGGCCCATGGCCCGGCTTTAAAGCTAGGTTAGGTCAGTCCTAATTGGTCCCGACCGGGCCGGGCCGCGACCCAAGGCAACCTGGGTTGGTTTAGCCTGCGGTTCAAACCAACCCACACCCACACCTAGCTCTAATCTTGCCCTCCTCACTCTCATATATACCTCTATGTGCATGAGTGCGTAGTTGCGCGTGTCTGTGTTGGTGCGTGTTCTCAAATGAACTCCATAGTGAGAACTCTATGAGTAACTCATAACGGGCCGTCCCGTTAATGCCTCGCTCCTATCATCTCATTTGACTCATGCAAAGTAATTTATGAACCGAGTGTTTCCATAACATCCTTCACGTCAAAAAAGACATTATTTCAACCACAGAGGAAAATATAATGCATGACGTAATATTTTTCAAAGCTTCAAATCTTTAATTCCAAGAGTGTTTTGAATGTATAGATCAAGATGGAAGGTTCTGGTTACCAAAAGATAACACATTGTGGAGCACTCATGGTTTCAATGTAGAGAAGTAGCTTTCACCAGATATCTCCTCAAACACACTCATGCCATACTAGTGCTGTGTGTTCTCCAGATCCAAAGTTGTTGTGTCCACTTCAGGACATTCAGATGCTTGACATTCGTGCTCATGTCTGATTGATTAACACTGACCTGGTGATTTCTAGTAGAAGTCTAAGATGACCTACAGAGGTAGGCTACGAAGTCCTGGGAATTAGTTATCACCAAAGACGCTACACACACATACATATACCGGTGTCCTCATTCCCACTTTTTTAGAAGTTCTTGGTGCAAGACACCCCAGGAGATTCAGACTTGACATCCACTCTCATGTCTGAGTAACATCGGTAGGTAGATGTTTGAAGCAACCCCAAGAGATATGCTATAGAGTCCTATTTCAAGCTTGGCATACATGTTACACCAGCATAAACGTCAAACTTTTCTTCCGATGTGTAGATCAATTACATGAATCATTTTCTTCATTTGACTTTAATTTAGAATATCATTGCATAAAGAAAGGCCTAGAGCAATGCAAAGCATAGAGAAGCTTATGCTGAAAGAAGCTTATGCCGAACAATGACGTAAAGCAAAAGTAACATGAAAAACCTGAGAGTATCTATAAATCCTAAGAGGAGATCCGGAAGAAATTATCAAATGTTACATACTGTCTAAATTTGGAGAAATGTTACAGCTCAGAGTAAGAGTTAGAACACAGACATCCAAGGATGCTAAGATAAATCAGTAAATATCACATAGAAGCTGAGAAACATGGGTGATAAAGTTTGGAACATTCAACAGGAACACTTATCTGATGCTTTCTGGGACCAAGTCTGCCAGGGATGTAGTATATGGCTAATGACCAGTTTGCATATAGAACTGGATGATCGGACAACAAAAAGTACAGAAATACACTAACAACAAGAAATGAGAAAGTTTCAGGGAGATGTATAGAAAGACACAGTGGATGAAGATACAATGAGAAGAGCAGGTACGCAGCAGTCTGGAAACAAGCTACAATGAGAAGCGAGAAGCTACAATGAGGACCAGTTTCAGTATTTGACAAATTAGGAATAAGTGAACTTAAGGAATGACTACAACTTGTGGGTCAAAGAACACTAGTAGTGTTAAGATAGGATTAAAAAAATCCGTAAAGATATGCAAGTTTGAGTCATTAAGTAATTAATCTTAAGTAACAATAGTTGATTCTGATAGTTCATTGTCTAACTACAGATGGTGAAAATTGATCCAGAAATTAGCAATCTGTCTAGTAAACTTACTTGTAACAAGGGTATCAAGTATACGTCAGACACACATAGGACATGGTAATTCTATTATATATACTTTTCAAGTGTCATGTGTCGTTGAGCTACCTCATCTCGTGGACATGTAGGCATATATGCTCGATGTAGCTAGCAAAACTGTGTTAACAAAGAAAATTTTAACTGGAAGAAAATATACTAGCACAAAGCTAGTAGAATATCAAACTATTGACAAAAAACATTTTGATTACCAACAAGTGAAATAGTATGTAACATTTATCAACACAATGATATGAACAACAGAACAAAATAAAATGGGTACTCACTTTGGACCAGCGGCTACCTATAGTAATATCTTTATTTTCCCTAAGCATCGATTTAAAGCTTTTAAATGCAGCAGTTCGTGCAGCTAGATTTTTCTCGTCAGCAGCTTTCTTTAGAGGAAGCACCCTACAAATGAACAATAAATTTATTTGCTCTGTGCAATAATATAAGTAAATGTTTACAAGTTGAGCGTCTCCCAGTTGCAGTTCATGAAGATCAGTGCGAAAAATGAAGCTCAACATACTTTTCATTCAAAAGAAGCATCCGTTCCTTCCGATCTAGCGCCTCGAACCTTGGGTCCGTGCCCCATTTCTTTTTAAATGTCTGGTAGTCCGTTTTATGATCTATATCCTGTTCAAATTAGCTAGTCAGTTTTGAAGGTTTAATTCAATTACAAAATTGTTATATAAAATTTACAGAAAGAACACTTGAGTCATATATTCTGGAAGATATCTCAATACTGTAAGATGCAAACAACCAACGCACAAAAACAAAACTAGCACTTAACCTCTGACACTTCTTCTAGCAATTGTTTAAAACCATCAATTGCGGCCTTCTGAGCTGCTCTTTTTTCTTTGCGCTCTTCTTCTGCACGTGTCCGAACAAAGTGCTCAAATATAGATCTCCGAGCTGAATGACTAGGAACAGCCTGCAGAACTTGGTATTAGAAAATTTGCAATACTTGGCACGTCTAAGATCATAACACTCGGAAACTAATTAACACAGAAGATAAAAATAGAAGGCATTAAGAAATTGTAGGTTTTAGGCAGCTGTTAAGTTAAATACACTTAAAACTTAGAAAAAGGTAACAAAAAAAATTTATAGTACATAAACCTGAAAATCATGATCTGAAGGAATGAAAAAATAACCATTAGCCAGAATGCTTGTGAAGGAAAACTATATGCTTTGACAGTTAATAATGCCAAAACTCAAGAAAAAAAGTAAATGATAAGTGGCAATAGATGGCCAAAAAAATGTGATCTGGAAGAAAAGAAGCCCAATTGGCATACTTGAAAGTAGTTGTACTTCTACTATTATATCTGAAAGCAATAAAGGAATAGCCCTCCGGAAGCAATAAAGGAGCTCCAATTTCATGATGATGGAAAATGTGTGACACATATTCCAGCAAAGGGGAGTGTGACATACGATACGACACATCAACACAAACAGAAAATACTATCTGGCACAGCATATATGGCAAAATAAATTTTAGTTTATTCTATCTCTTGGGATAATTCATCAAACTAGACAGAGGTGTCAGTTTGCCCAAATTCAGTCCAAACCGGCCCATTCAAAGTGGGTTTCTGAAACCAAATTTTAGAGACGGTGAGGGATTTGTTTCCTGATAGAATTTATTGTAACTCTAGTAAGGAAAGACTTCTCTAGTAAGTCAGGGTTGGGAGTGTCTATGAACGATACCTCTAATATAACAAGTAAAGATTATACGAAAATAGTGCATATCGCAATACCAATAGAAAAAGAAAGTAAGGAATCTTCTTTCACCATTAATTCTTCTTACCGTTAGCATCCAAATTCCAATAGATTGGAGGAAGAAAACATTTAGGTTGAGTCATTGGTGTCAATCTAGGTCTAACTAACAGTGTTTCAGAAATTTACTATAAAATACTATTGGAAAGGGAAACATACAGAACAGACATCAAAAGAAATAGCAAAGTATTGATGAGAATAATTTCTTTCAAGGATAAGAAATTCAATATAATAGAAACTTCACCAAGTTCTCAAAGTCACATATAAAATAGACAACTGAAAAGAGCTTATGGGAGGGTTAAATCTTTCTAAGGGCACTTTGTAACTTGGGACAAAGTTTCAGTTTTGGATCAAACACGGAAATCTTATTTATAAAGTATTACTGAATTTCACAAGTTCTGTTCACATTTAATTAAGGAGTATAAATTCTCCATGTTCATGGAAAATACATAAAAACCACATCCGTGACTGATTACAAAAATCGTGAACTCTGGTTTATTGCAAGGTTTGAGAACCTGGTTTCGGTTCCTGTTTCATTTTAGTTGCCTTTGAAAGTTTCACTTTTGACTAGTTCCCGCAGTTAAGACAAATTTTGGCCTTCATTTTGGTTCTATTTTATAAGATCTTAAAAAAATATGCACATAAAATCCTTAAAAGTTCAATTGTTTCATGAAGCAATCTACAAGCTAAATATTGTAAACAGTTAACTCTTTCAGGCCCTTGAACTGAAAATAGTTCGCGAATCGCATGACTGCTAGGGATTTACTCGTAAAATACGTTTACTTCTCTATCTACTGCATTAAATGAGTAAAATGTCTGGTTTGGACATGTGATCTAAATCTTGTAGACATATAAGATGAACTAACAATGCGTTAATTTGACACGCAAACCAGATGTACATCTGACTTTAACCTTTTAAGTCATCAACCTTTCAAACTCTATTATGATAAATCTGAGTGGCAGAGGAACCAGTATCTTGTATTCTTGTTTTAGAGTAATGCAACCTAAGGTTTCCCGAGTTTTTCGTGGTTTGAGCTATAGTATTTGCTGATAGGAAATTTTTCAGGATTTTGTTGTATTTTTCGTGGTTTGTGCTTTACTGTTTGCAGATAATTGGTCTTGTTATTTTTGCATGGCAGCCTAGACTTTTCCTGAAGTTTTTTCTATATTGGAGGTTATGGTTTTCCCCCTTACATGGTTTGGACATGTGATCTAAATCGTGTAGACATATAAGATGAACTAACAATGCGTTAATTTGACATGCAAACCAGATGTACATCTGACTTTAACCTTTTAAGTCATCAACCTTTCAAACTCTATTATGATAAGTCTGAGTGGCAGAGGAACCAGTATCTTGTATTCTTGTTTTAGAGTAATGCAACCTAAGGTTTCCCGAGTTTTTTGTGGTTTGAGCTATAGTATTTGCTGATAGGAAAATTTTCAGGATTGTGTTGTATTTTTCGTGGTTTGTGCTTTACTGTTTGCAGATAATTTGTCTTGTTATTTTTGCATGGCAGCCTAGACTTTTCCTTAAGTTTTTTCTATATTGGAGGTTATGGTTTTCCCCCTTACATGGTTTGGACATGTGATCTAAATCGTGTAGACATATAAGATGAACTAACAATGCGTTAATTTGACATGCAAACCAGATGTACATCTGACTTTAACCTTTTAAGTCATCAACCTTTCAAACTCTATTATGATAAGTCTGAGTGGCAGAGGAACCAGTATCTTGTATTCTTGTTTTAGAGTAATGCAACCTAAGGTTTCCCGAGTTTTTTGTGGTTTGAGCTATAGTATTTGCTGATAGGAAAATTTTCAGGATTGTGTTGTATTTTTCGTGGTTTGTGCTTTACTGTTTGCAGATAATTTGTCTTGTTATTTTTGCATGGCAGCCTAGACTTTTCCTTAAGTTTTTTCTATATTGGAGGTTATGGTTTTCCCCCTAACATATTTGTGGATTCAAGCATGTTATTCCCAGGTTATTGTTCAACTCCCCACCAACCTCCTCACTTATCTCAAAGACTATATCCACCTGCCCAACATCTTGTGTGCTTTATTCTTTCTAATATGAATGCTTATGCAGTTATACACTCTGTCTTTGTTTTCTTTTCCCTCCATACAAAGTGCACAAATAGACAAATTAATAAGCAACTAAACATTTTGGCCAGAATATATTCCTGTTTAGGGGAGTTCAACATACACTCCAGCATCAACATTCATGTGGAATATGTCAATCATCTGGACAATTCTCAGTCTAGAGTGAAAGAAGGTCCATGCCTTGTTTGCTTTCAGCTGATTAATTCCAAACATCTGTGTGTTGTGGAAAACTTGATTATCATTTGCTATATGAAATCAAAGCATTAAGCATCAAACTTGTTCATCAATTACTTTTTAGTTTTCTCTACTGTATGAATATTATTTTCCTTGCTTAATATAAAGTTTTATGTTCATGTAGCTCTGCATGCATGACTCTGAGCCATTGTGCTACACTGTTCTGGAGTTCCCACCATATACTAAGAGCTCGCAAACAAGCTCTACCATGCACTATATCAAATCAAATAACATTGCATCGTTAGTGACAGTTGCAGGTAATACTAACACGAAAGAAAACAAAGAATTGGGTTTATATTTATCCATGAAAATATACTGTAAAAATTTTAAAGCTAATAAATAGAAATTTTCATAGTAAAACATGCCAGGCCTAAAAAAAAGCATTATATGGAAAACAACTAAAATGAAATTCACTCTTTCATAGTGAGCACACGCATGGATCTAACAAACCTGAGCCATAGAGTTCCAGTTGTAGGAAAGGCCCAAAATTCATAATCTTTAGACTCAACAAACCTTAAAACGTGGATCAAAAACTATCTTCGGTAGCTCTTTATCCCATTTTGAGAATGGTGCAACTCCCCGTTTTTTAAGCATTTCCTATAAATATCACAAAGCAATAAAAGTAATAAGGGAAGTGCAATGGATGTAAACAATATAATATGTTTGGCTCCGTTTCAACATCAAGTGAATTAATAATGTTCATAAAGCAGTAGCATCAAGATACAAAAAGATGGACTTATATCATTATTTTCAACCTGTTAACTTAAAAGTTGAGTATGTATAAAATAGTATGAATTGCATTCTTTAGTGGTGGTTGAAATAGTAAACCCAAACTAGAAATTCCCATAAAGATTGGACCCTGTATTTTATGCTTTCTTGGGTAAAAACCTAAATGCCTGGTAAGAATACCCCTTGTTGTTCAATGTAGCATGGACACTTCTCACATGAAGTTGTACCTATTTTGGACATCTCCTCACGTATCAGACACTTCTTGGTCTCTTTGGAAAAATGTCGGCACAGCCCAAACATGTCTCCAATGATAAATTATCATTTTTAGTTTAGGGCGCTTGTTGGCCATTTTGCCATTTTCCAACTACAGGTGATGCGCCTAACGCTCCTCTACATTTATTTGTTCATATTACATGCTTCAATATACTTTTTTTACATTCATTTATATATCAAACAATTCTTCGGTGGAGAAAGACCATCAAAACCATTGATTACTGTAAACTACAATAAGTTTGTATTTGTTTCAATATAAGAAGTGAAATACATTGAACTATTCCAATATAAAGTTGATGAGCCAACTCATAATAATATTAGCATTATGCATCTGAACTTTTGGATTCACAAACATGTATGTGTGCCTGTGCAGGTAGTACATATACCTAAACAATCGACGTGCACAGGATTATATATATTGTAGTATGACTTTCTGGTGTCCTTCTGAAAGAAATATGACATTCTGATCATGCTTCTTCTTGTTTATCTTCTTCATCCACAGACTTGTAAAGCGGATTATATGCAGTGTTCTTAGAACGTCCATCACATATGCCATAAAATCTAGTAAATCTAAAGTAAGAAAACACACAATGCAGACCAACAACAAAAAGAAAACTTCAAATCTTTCAAATGATCAAGTAGTTCATTACGAAACAAATCAATCAGCCCAAGGCAAGTAAGGTACCCTGAACTGAATAATGCACTCCTCCTTAGTTGGTCCACTCTCTGCATCATCGGAATCAGACGAGGAATCTGACATATTTGCTTCCCCATTAGCATCTTTTGCTTTGTCTTTGCTATTCATACTTTGCTGACCCTTAGCTACAGCATCAGCTGCCCTTGAACCATTCAGCTCAGTAGTAGAGATCGCGGAAGGTGAGAGAGGTGTGGATGTAACTGGACTGCCTGCTTCTTGCAACTTCTTCTTAATCAGATCCAGTGCAGATGAAGAAACTTGTCCGCCAGAAGGCCTAACTACCATAGAATCACGACCCCCTGTGTGCATAGCAGGAGTGCTTATATAGATAGGAGCAGATACTTTCTCTGCTACAATATTGGTATTTTCGTCTTGAACCATATTTCCTTTTGAGGCATCACTTTCCTGATTCTTTTTCATCTCTGAAACCTCTGAAGGGATCTGCCAGCTACTAACCTGAATAGGGGGAACATATAAATTGAAGAAATGCAGTATTCTGGTAAACATTATGATAGTAGCAATCAGAGGTTCCCAGTACAAAGGTGAGTGGTTGTAAAATAACTATCCTTTAACTAGCAGTTGAAAGTAAGGACAAGACATACTAAACCAAACTTGCAAATAAGGTAAAAGCCAGCGTAAAACAAGACTACAGTATTCCGTGCATGGATCAGTCTCAAGTTCAACTGCCATGATTTCATATGAATTACAAAAGTTCAAGGCTACAGTATTCCGTGCATGGATCAGTCTCAAGTTCAACTGCCATTACATTTTGAACATTGTTTCTTCATATGTCATGCATGAACATCTACCCCCTCCTAAAAGGGTCCCAAAAACAACTTTAAGTCCCCTCCTATTTATTCAAAGTAGCTATTCCCCATAACCACAACTCTTTTGTTCTTTCTAACAGTTTAAAATCCTACAGCAGCAAAACCAATTACTTACAGCACATGTATCAGCATGCAAGATAAAAGCTATTATTCCAAGCAAAGCAGAAAAAAAGTACCTATCTACATTGGACAATTCCGATAAACATATAAGCTGAACTGAACACCCAAAATGTAAGATCTGAGACTAACCAATTCCTTCAAAACATTTATATCTTCAATAAATTGTGAAATTAAATTATCTCTTAAGTATATGCTTAGCAAGCATATTAGGATGGAACTATAGTCCATAAAGGTGCTTTAGTATAGCACTTTGTAATTAAATTGGTATGTACTTCAGACTAACAAAAGATGACAAACAAAATATTCAATGTATGACATGAATACTGAGGTCCTTATAATATTGAATACTACACATACACGACCCAATGAGTGATGTTGAGAACAGTGTTTTAAATGTCGGCCGACATGTCCGACATGTCGAAATTAGGGTTCGAACGACACGAATCGGGCAATTTTATGTCGCATTTCGTTTTTCAGGAGGAAATCGGATATGTCGGCGATATATCGGGCATATCGGCCGACTTTTCAGCTTCAAAAAATCGGTTGATATGCTCTGTTATTGGTTTAAAACGTTTTTCACTTATTGGGTTTGGGTTTACGTTTGAAAACCCAAACTCATATGACCTGTTCTGATGTTAAGGGTCTGTTATTGAACCTGATAGACAGAAACAAACCCGTTCAAAAGAAAAAACGAAAAAATCTAGGGCTACGACTGGGAACCCAGCCTTCGTCTTGTGTTAGTTCTCCTCACATCGCTGGCTTCTCCTCTCTTTCCTCCCTGCAACATCGAACTCCATCTCCGGTGTCGCCTTCTCCTCTCTTTCTTCCCTGCGCGAAGTCGAAGTTGCAGCTTTCCTCAACTTCTTCAGCCGTCAGGTATGAGAGTCCCTTCCTCAACTTCCTCAACTTCTTCTTCTTCTTCTTCTTCTTCTTCTTCTTCTAGATTTAGAAGATTTTCACATCATCTAGATTTTAGTATTGATTTCATCTTGTTTATCTTATTCAATGTCTTAATTTACTGTTTCTCCTTGTTTTTACTATTCTTTTACATTACATTATATTATTATTCAAATAGCTCCATGCTTTTTGTTGCTATAAATTATTCATTTGTAGAATTCAATGTTTGGCAACATGTTTTGGGTAGCATGCTGGGAAAACAAGACATGGTTGATTTCTCGTAATGATCCTTGTTTATCATTTAATAATAATCCCTGGTTTCTCGTAATAATCCCTGTTTATCATCTAATGATATAAACATGTAATACTCAAAGAATTTCTGCTTTTCTTCTTCATGTGACAGTCTGGTAGCAACTCTGTGGATAATCACAGAGGGGAGAAAATTCTATTTTTATCTGTTTGGGGGTGATGAGTCTTTACTTTTTATAGAATTTATAAAGTGTGCTGAGTAAGAGGACTTTGCAGATTCAATTTTTTATATGTTTAGTCTATAGAATTATAAAGTATGCTTATATTGAATTTAGGAATACTTAGATTACATTTAGGACATGATATTATACATATGTGTACCACCCGATATGGCAATCCGATATTTAGTCCATGTCCCCCCGATATATCCCCGAGTTCCGCTATCCGACATGGATTTCAGCCGTCCGACATGAACCCGATATCCGATATTTAAAACCTTGGTTGAGAATAAGCATAATCTTTTCAGCCTAGGAAGCACTAACTTCTTTTCTGAAACAGTGTGATGAGGAGGACATGTCTGTCAACCTACTTGGGACAACACCCTTGCGATGTAATCACTGTTTTATTTTTTTTTACATGTATTAATGTATAGTTTAACAATTTATGTTTAACGCTCAGTTCAGTCCACTAATACCCATACTTCCATGTCTGTTCCTGTTCTTCTTGGTTTATGATGAATTGTATGAAAGAAAACTCAAAACAGATTTCAATTTAATTACAACAATTACGGGGTATCTGCCAACTTGGCATGGAAAAACTAGAAGACCAATACCACTCTATAAATTCAAGCTTTTCCAGCTTTTTAGAAGCTAGAAAAAGATATAGATTTGAGTTCCAGAAAGTTGTCTCATTTGAAGAAATTCAAAACAGGGAAAATAGATTTTCTCAGGTAACATATGATGCAGGTGGCCTTCACACAAACCTGCAGTGGGGCATCTTATCTTTTGAATATGAGCTTCCACATTTTCAGAAACCCAAAACAATATGCCATATATGGAATGGCCATTTTGTGAACTATCGAACATTTTCTGTTCAGGTCTCTTCCAGCCAATTAGTAAAAAAATAAAAGAGACACAGCTGGCCTCTAGTTTCTGACTAGTCGTCCACAAGCAATACAAAGCCTAGGGTAAAGATAATGGAGGAAAGACTTACAAGGGAATAACATTGTTGCATGGTATAATAGATAGCTTACAGTGACAGCAGATAAAGCTCCAGATAGTTAACGGTAAGCCAAAAAGACTTGTATTATTGTTATCTGAAGAAAATGATTTGACTAAGTGTATCTTATGCTTATAGTATCCTTACCAGTAACACATCAAATATGACCCTTGTGGAAACAATATATACCAGCAAAGATAAATCATAAATGGTTTGAATCCAAGAGAAAGTCAAAACCAAATCATCCTAATTGTTTATAATATTAAACATCCACATCTTCATTTTCCTTGACGCGGAGAAGTAAGGGAACGAACGACCATTTATTGCAACAATGGTTAGATAGCACACTTTGAGACATTCATGTTTCACATGAGAGCCAGAACATTCAAGCCGAAGTTTCTTTTTTCCGATAAGTTCCCTTCCTAACCAATTCCCAGTAATCACCCTAATCCTCTTGTATTTCTCTGCACCATTGTCTATAACTAATATTGGAATTTGGAGTTCGACAACATTGCAGCATCTAAGCCATGATACACATAGGTTATCATGCAAAGTCCATATGGGATCCTCGTGTTTTTTCACACTTCAATGAGTTTTCTATTTTAGTTGTTCATCTATTAATGATGAACATAACCATGCTACATTAACATGATAAATCAGTTACGCTAGTTACTGAAAAGGAACAATTTATAAGACAAGCTATATCTTTTTCAAGGCATTATTTTCTTAATGGGGTCAGAAGAAAGCTGATGAGGGTCTAAAATTTGGGCATTATGAAACAACCACCAGAAAAAGAATGTACAAGAGAGCAAAGTGCAAAAAAAGCATTGTTTCAAACACCAATTATTTGAAATAAAGGCTTCAATATTGCTGTTGTTACTGATTTCTGTTGTGATGTTCAGTGAGTTAGAGGTGAACTCATAATGCAGTTTTTTTTTCACAAAAGATTGTTCACCAGCTTGGAAAAAATAAAATTATCACCCTTCATGCAGCTGGTCCTTTAACAGTGACAGTGTAAATTTTTTAATAGTCTCCTGTACCTAACATGGGCCTTATATCAAATAATAGTATCGGCACTGCAAGTAGGCACTGCAGGCTAATTCATAACTTGGGACAACTTCGCTAAACAAGAATTTCCAAAACTAGATTAACACTTCTCTAATTTTGTATCTGCAACAAAAATACAGGATCAATGAAATAAACTAAAGGATAAGTTTCTGTGTATACATCGCATTCTCTAGTGCCAAATATTCATCGAATCATCTCATAAGTTGCCTTCTTTCTGTTGGTGGGTGAGACCAGTGGTTCTTGGTGGTGTTAAAAGTGTATTCTCGAGGGTAACATGGAGGACTTGCTGTATCTAAACACGTTCACGTGGGGGGAAAATGATAGGAGCATTTCATAAAGTTCGGTACGGATTGGTGTGTGCTGGGAAGAGGTTGACAGGTTTCTTTTTTAAGTTAAAGAGGGTTTAGATGAGGATGATGAAATCAAAATCAAGCTTCTTTTTAAAAGAAAAGCACTCTATGCTTAAAAAAGCTCATATCGTAAGCAATCAGATCATCTCTCAACCATTAAACAACAAAGTTTTTGATAGTAAAGTGAACATGACAGCTTACATACTGATGCATGAGCTGCGAGCGCCAATTCACAAACAAGCAATACTTCATGCAGCTTATCGATATTAAAGTAATTCCATACACCACATCCATAACAAGCTCATAATATTCGCATACCATGAAATGAAATGCACACAGAATCCATGTGATAGAAGTCTCTCCATAGCACATGAAAACTTAATACACGGTGAAGTTTATGTTTACGCATTTATGATTGTGAAAACTGAAACTTTGTTATATCACTGTGTCAACACAAATAATTTGTAGCAGAATATAGAAAGAGCACCCAAACTAGACTACCTTGTTCATGGTATCATAGTAATACTTCTTGCCATCATTTGTGGTTACCAGTGTCCAATTGGTACCAGCAATCTTCTCCCTGAGAAAGATAAGCAAAAAATGCTATTAAAAAGAAAACGAATAGCAACAATTGTGATACTAAGGTGAGCCCGACTTCTTTAATAATGCATGACAAACAGCGTCTCCGACTCTCTGCACCTTATGCCTGATACAACTATGTATAGTATGAAATGTTCAAATTGGACACAACTCACTTATCTCCTGTAATGAAATGTTCAAAGATACAACTCACTTATGTCATGTAATGAGATGTTCAAAGACACAACTCACATAAATAGAACCACACATCTAACACTAATGTTAACATCAAATATATGGAATCCATAAAGTAATTTATAAGATAATTTAAATGTGATATCTACGTTGGTGCCATACATGTGAACTCTCCAAGGTCCAAACAAGAGGAAACTGGTTATATATTGTATTTTTAAGACATGTAACAATACAAATATTGTATTTTCAAGACACGTAATAATGCACATTGTGTCACACATACATAAACTTCAAAACAGTGACCAATTTATAAGAGGAAACTGGTTATATAAAATTGTGCATCTAGCTTGCCAAAGAGGGAATAATATTCTTTATGTCATTGATATTTATAGGCCAATAACAGTTTCAAATTTCAAAGTATCAACCACAGCAAAAAGGGAATAATAGTCTTTATGTCATATATATTTATAGGCAAAATTTCAAAGTATCAACCACAGCGGTCATGTTTATCATGTTAGGCGCATATGGATGCACAAATTTCCATGATGAAGAACTATCCAACATTGGGTTAGCTTACAATAAAACCAGCAAAAATTATATAACCAAGGAAATATTGTACGCATCACAAACAATTTAAATACCAAAACCTTGAGAGTGCAAATAACATGTAGAAGACATCCAGATGTATAGACGTAATCTACACGCATAGGTATACATAATATACATACACATGTGCACACATGTCATATGTGATATCTGTATGAATATATACAGCCTGCAACGGTTCATGGTATTTCACACTATTCGACCCACTACATATTTATTTAGATTCAGATAAAAAGTTGCTTTTTCTCGTAATTAACTACAACAGCAAACTAAACTCCCAAATAAACCTTTTCCACCACCAACCATCCAAACAATAGCAAGCAATCTGGATATGTCAAATCCAACCAAACAAAAATATGGCAAAAGTAAATTGCAGCGCAATTATAATAGATCAACAATTAAGAGAAGTCATTAGTGATCCACTACAGAAATCTAGAAGATGCTCTTAACAATCAAACTAAAACCACCCTTGCGCAAAAGCTCAACTCATCCATGCAGTCATAGAGCACAAACCGCCGGGATGCCATTAACCAGCTCACCAGTAAGCAGCCTAGTGCTAGCATATTGGTTATGAGATGCTCAGGACTAGTTGAAACCACCTTGCTATAGACCCGTTTTCTACACAATCTCCCAACTATCATACCTCTATAACGACCTCCTAATTACCAGGATTCAAGGATCCGGTACAAAAATAACGCATATACATCCAAATTTGAGGTAATACAGTCCACATACCAACACCAAAAGTTAAAAATCCAAACTGCATTCAGGTTTCCGCTATGATACAGCCCCTAGAAAATTCAATTGTGCAGAACCAGGGTCAAACTGTATAGGTAGTTAGCAGCAGCAACAAAATCGAATAACACGATCAACTACATAATGAATATTTGAAGGATAACGCAACACATATCTGACCTACTACAGAGATCCTGTGATGTATATCACATAATTTGTAACTTGATAATTGATATTGAAGTAGTTATATAATTTGCATTATTATTGACAAAAATCATCTCTAGCATCATTTTTATTCTCTATAAACTACTACTGTGACAAAATCAAAAAGTCCAAAACTGTAAAATTATCATGTTTAAGACTCTCTAACCCTATGAGAGGCTTTTGTGTACTTCACAGAGTTGTACCAACTACCAAAATAGAATTTACTAGTGAATTCCATAAATAGTATCCACTTGCAGGACCTAAACCGACATGATTGATGAGGTAGGTTTTCCTATCAGCTAGTTTGCCTAGTGGTAGCAACAACTAGTTCCTTCCTGACTATAGTTCCTCTGGCCAGAATGTCAGTGCCGCCTCAGGAGGTTATTTTAGATTGGAACTAGTTGCAACAAAAGAGAACAAACCCCTATAGCAAAAGGGCAGTTAATTGTTTCATTCTGATTAGGAATTCAGCCGTGGTTACATCAGAGTCCAAGATGCCAAACCAAATCACCAGCTTGTCAATTTCTTCACCAAGATAAACACACAACCATAGGATGATGGTAGATTATTCACTATATGCAAAAGATTGAGATGACCAAAGGACAGATGGATAATCAGAAAGTCATTGTCCTGAACTAACAGAATGAAAACATGGTGTCATGATCAATAATGAAAACATCTGCCAGGCTTGACGATTGTTTGATGTCATATCGCTGTGAATCTAAGCACAGAACTCATACCATGTAACAGGAGTTGACTGATTTGCAACTTTCTCCAGCTGCAAGCAGAAGAAATGAGATTACTCAAGTTGAATTCTAAACAACAGTTTTTGTCAACTACAATGATGTCATATTACTTGATATGAGAAGTACTATGAGCAGCTACCTCCCCCTTAAAACTGGAAGGCTTATTGTATGTTGATTCTCCTGTAATGGAATTGTAGTAGTATATGGTACCAGACTCTGTCTTATGTGCTGTCCATGCGTCCACCTCTTCTCTCTTTGTGGTTTCCCCATCCTTGTGGAGATCATTAGCTTCTTTATCCCTGTCTGCTCGATAGCACTTAAATTAAATAAATAGAAACAGTAAACAAATCATATTGACAAGTTGAAAAGAAAAGATGTCATACCAATGCCTGGGGGCAGTGGTCCTACAATCACTTTGCTCATAGGATTAGATTCTGCACTGGTGAGGACATCACTATGCATAGCTGTGGAGACACCAGGAGGCTGAACACCTGGTGAAGGAACTGAAGTTACAGATACGCCCCGGATTGGCAATGGAAAGGGGGAAGGATTGGCACCAGCATGCGGGAAAAATGGCGCATGTGGCAAACCACCAGTTAGAGGAGGATGCAACCAAGGAGATTGAGCAATAGGGGCCATGGCAGACATCAAAGGATAATGGGAATGAGTTTGTTGCTGAACATTCCTCGTTGGTGCCATTGCAATAGAGGCCAAATTTGATGGTGCAGCGGGAAATGGCACAACAGGTCTCAAAGGCGAAGGAGAAGAATCTGCAGCAGATCCAGACATTGACATCCCAGGGCGGGGCATAAATGATGCTGAGGTTGGCGCAAAAATGTTTGAAGAACTTTGAACAGATAATGGAGTAGAATCTGTAGAAGAACTTGCAGGTATAGCAGAAGATGTTTTTACAGATTTAGAACTAATTGGTTCTGCAGATGAAATTCCGGCTTCTGGTACAGCAACATTTGATGTACCCTGTGATCATCCAAGGAACAGATAGCTAATATGTTAACAGTGGGCTCTCTGCTATTGCAAACAAGGACTTACCTAAAAAAGACACATATTTGAGAATATGATTTTAACATACATCATTGGGGTTAAGGCTTTTATCTGATGCATCTGTCATGGATTGGTGGACGCTCTCACCAAAAGAAAAGTTGCTTGATGCTGACAGTTGACCTGCAGGGCGAGGAATATTCTGTGGAAATGTTCGAGGAAAAGTCGGATTAAGCCTCATAGGTTGCCCTGGAACTGGAGGTTGCAAGGATGCAGCAGTTAACTTTACACCTTGCAACTGCAGTTGACTGGTGGCCTGAAAAGACAAATGGTCATACTAAGGCAACAACTCTTACAAAGGCATGACAACAAAGAATAATGCACTACAGTTAATAATTGAAGTATAACAAGCACAGGAAAATTACAGTGACAGGACGGAACTGCTGACCAGATGCAGTGATAGTATTAGCATGTGGGAAAACATTATAGGAAAAAGATGGACTATTCCCAAATGATTGTCCAGGTACAGGAGGCTGAAGAGCAGCAGCAGGCATTGGCGGAATTAACTTCATAGCCTACATAAATCAACTCAAGCAGATCAAAAACATGAAAATATGTAAGAAATGCACAAGAAAAATGAGAACTGAGGGGGAAAATAAACAAGCATAGATACCGATTGTTGAGGGCTCCCAGCAGAAGAATTCACCCTAGGAAATAAGTTGTAGGAAAAAGATGGTGCAGGGACAACATAGCCTGCTGGAGAAACAAACTTAGCCTGAACAGGATCTCGCGTTGGCTCATTTGGTGAATTATGGAGAGCCACTGGAGTTGTTTCGCTTGGAGCTGAAGAGCCAGGAAGAACTGTGGGTACTGTTGAACCAGCATTAGCATTAGTAGTTGGAGTAGATGAAACTGGAGTGGTTGCACCATTTACTGGTTCTCCAACAGGTGGAACTGGTGACGAGGAAGCCACAGCCAATGTTGGGGAAGCTGCAGTTGGAGCAGGAACCGGCGATTCTGAATTTTGAGATTGAAGAGTTGCAGTTGAATCTGAAGCTTGCATCTTTTCTGACTGCCACAGTGATGACATAATTTTTTTCTATAGCAGAATAAATTGAACAATTTAGTAATGTACAGTATCTTTTCCTGAACTTACAGTATCTTACCAAAACATTTTTTTGATAGATGATAGACATATACTTATCGCTTAGTAAAACGTAACATGTTAGATTAATATCAGTTCGAAACAGCTTAAGAAAAAATTTGTGAGCCAACAGGTGTTAGAATATTATAACTATTCCTTCGAGATCTAGTTTGTCTTACATTTTTTTCTTATATATCTACAAATGTTAACCAGAAACCAGGTTACACCATTGAAGCTTTCTTGATTTCAAGTCATGCTCAGTCGCCAGAACGTTCAACATTTTCAAGTAAACACCCAATAACTTTCAAAATCATACTAAACCTACAATAGCTTTCGGAGTTACAGAAAACCTCCCAATAAGTTTCCATGATTAGCATATAACCCCCATAAATTAGAACCCAAAAAACAAGATAAAAAGGTATTTTGAAAGACAATTCACCCAAAAAAACAATTAGTGTTTAAACCCAACTTGGGTGCGAGCAAGAGGAGAACGAATGACAAAAGATGAGAGATTTCTGTTATTAGGGTTGAAAATATAAAATGGTCAAAAAGGGGTTTTGAAATAACTTAAGGGGTAATTTGGTCTTTAAAATAATGTAAGCTACACTGCTACATTAGATGTAAAGTTCTTAACTTCGGGGTTTTCTACAAAAGTTATTGGCGGGTTAGTGCGATTTTGAAAGTTATTAGGGGTTTCCTGCAATGGCAAAGTTATTGGGGTTTAGTGTGATTTTAAAAGCTATCAAGGATTTAATGCACAACGGTGAAATTTCTTGGGTTTTAGTTTAATTTACCCTTATAAATATGGTCAAATAGTATTGATTTTTTATGAAGTATTTCCAACTAATCTTAGATACAATCTTTTACTATAGACGAATATTAGCACGAGCTTACAACACGTGTGTTTTATATGTGTGTAGATATATGTGTGCGCGCGCGCACGTGCACATATATCTATACACACACATGTATGTGTTTTTGTGGGTTGGGGGGGGTGTTCCTAAGGTGACAGCTCAAATTCAATCTAGGGAAACACTTTTAAAACTACATTACAACTTACTCGATCCACTCCGTTTATTTTGATTTATATATTTTTTAATGTATATAGACAAAAAAATTAGCATGTCGGTTTATAGTTACTCATGCATCACGCAATTGTAAAATTACCGATTTTACGATAATATAACTAAAGAGACAATAAAAATTGTATTTGAAGTATTGAAACATCATGATTTTCATTTCATAGATGTTTTGAGTCATTTAGATCATGATGAATGGAGTAGATCGAGTGCAATAGTCTAATCCATACATTAAAAGGTAATTCCTTAGATTGAGTATAAGGTGGCACCTTAGGAACACTTTTCCCCATACATACATACATATATGTGTGTGTGCGCGCGCACATACATATGTACGTAATGTACATATGTATATAATTATATATATGTATATGTACATATGTATGTATATATATATACATATGTATATATATGTACATACATACATACATATACGTATACATATATTATCCCACATGCTAACCCATGTTTCCATTAGACTCTAGGAACCACTACAAGCTAGGAGATTCGAGCTCGAACCAGTAGATGAGATAGATAAACAAAAGTATAAGAAATTCAAATAAGCGTGCATAATTTAGTAATTTCTATTTGTCCTCTTAATTGATTGGTTATAATAACACCTAGCCACCTATATTTCCATTAAGATGGCACAAAAATATAGAAAAAAATCAATATGAAAAATGAAAAAAGGAAGGAAAAACCTAATTTCTACCATCACCCATCAGCTTGAGGGTTGTTCCTCCTGTTCACATTGAGATAGAACATTGAGATAGTCTGGGAGGAAAGAAATGCATCAGGACTTATGCCCTAACTCATTTTTAACTGAAGCGATTTGGGTTTAAACAAGATTCAAGTGGGTCAAATCAAATCGACGTTATTCATCTTTTGCATTCCTAACCTCATGAAGATGATGACAATCTTTCGAAACGTTTTTTGGTCACAAAATTATACTTACAACTTTCTGCTGACCGGTCGAATGAGAATAAATAGCATCACTAGGAAAATGTGTACCTACCTATAGAACAATTTGTCTTGAAATTGTACTGTAAGTCTGTAAGACCTTCGCTCGTTCATACTTGCCTCTGTAAGACCAACTCCTAGACGGTTGATACCAAGTTGATGGCATTTAAAAAGTTTTGGTTACATGACCATAAGCTACATCACTGGAAAAAGGTAAACCTACATGTAGTATAACATATCTTGAAATTGTGAAGTAGATTCAGTAAGAACCTGCTCATATTTTCCTCTGCAAACCAACTCCTAAGGGGTTGAAAGGAAAACATGTATGAAGACTAACTACCCTAAACAGTCATGCCTAACTTGCCAAACCACTGAAGCAATGTTTTACTTTTCACCCAATGATTGTATAAATTAAGATAATAAAAGAAGCAATAATGAAGCCAAAGGCCAAAGGTTGCCATGGCGCCCAAGTTTTTATAAACATGTGTGTGTATATACATGGGTTCTTTTTCATACAAGTTCCTCAAATATTTCCTGAAATTTGTCCCCTTAACTTTCATATTTGAAAGTAATCCCCAAACCTTTCATATTTGAAATTTGTCCCCAAAAGCTTCATATTTTGTAATTAGTCTTATGACTCTTTGAAGTGTTAGAAATTACCACTTGTTACGTTTACCATCTAAATTGATAATTATAGTTTGATAGTGATCAATAATGAACGGGTAATCACCAATCAAATAAAATCAACAAACAAAATCCACCAAAATCAAGCCAAGTTTCAGTAGTTTTAAGTTTAATTGTATGATCCATCCTCAACTTGTGCTCCAGTGAGGTTTTTCAATATTTAGGTTTGAATTGATATGGGTATAATCATTATTACACTCAAACAGTTAAATATGACAGAATTTTTTCTTAATTTCAACTAGCCTCTTAATTAAAGAAACTAATTTAGACCACTTAAAAAAATTACGGGACTAGCATAGAAAAAAAAACTATATATACACACATCATCTTTTCATGTAGTTTTCTTTGCATTTCAAGTATAATAGGAAATTGAGAATTCAATTATGTTCCCTTTTGCATTTAATAGTAGAAATTTGAAATGAGATTTGTATTTTGATATGGTATTATAATTTTGTGATGGAATTATGAATTGAGATTCTTGAAATTTTATAAAGTTGTACAAAAAGAAATAGATATGTAGAATGTGTTTTCTATATTCATGTACTATGCAATTAGTTTACAAATGTGATAATTAGAACGGTTTTGCTAACCATTGCCCTAAGGCAATGGATAAGGAGGACAGAGATCGAGTAAGGTGCGGTTGAAGAGAGAGAATGGGAAATATAGAGCCCCACACACACTTCACACTCTCTATCTCTATCTACGTTAATCATTTCCCAAAAATTGTTTCATTTCTTCTTATTATTATTCAAAATAAGTTTGGTAGTATAATTTATAGTGTATTTTCTATTTTCCAAGCCCTTAAAAAAATCATAATTTGTAGTTTGTGATATGGAAAAACCCAACTACAATCAATTTATTTTAAAAAAAAAAGAGAATTTAGAAGATTGAAGTGTGCTGAGTCAACGATGAGTACGTATGTTGAAATGATTAAGTATTCACAGCTTTTTTGTACAGCTTTACTTTAGATTCTTCTTTCACCTACTTGCATAACTAAAAGTTATTTATACATTGTCACATGTAATAATTTTTTATTGATCTGAAAGTTATTTACACATTGTCATATGTGTATCATTTTTTATTGATTTGAAAGTTATTTACTCATTGTAATATTTGGTCATTTTATTGATGCACAACATAATGATTGTATCTTGGCTCCCTAGGAAAAAAAATCCTGGCTCCGCCACAGAATAAGTGTCCCTTGAACTAGCCCATCATTGATTCTTTTCAAAAAAATTGAAGCACCTAATATAGAGTCAAGAGGAAAGAGTCGCAACAGAACTTGATAATGCAGTGGCTGCTGTAAGAACTAAGACAGGAAAGCATTTCCTATATGTTATCTCAAATTATTACTTGCACAGTACAATCGAATTATTATCTTCTCAATGAAAGGAGAAACTCATATGACAACCCCGTGAATAACCCAATCCTAACCATCACTAACGTGCATATTCTACAACAAACCCAAACACTAACACACAAGAAATATTATCTCAATCTCCCAACCAAAATTAACCAACTTAAAGTTGTCCTTTTTCTTTTTCTTTTTCTTTTTAAACTTTCTAGTTCCAATAGAAAGATGTCATCTTTTATATGAAGATAAAGAAGACACGATCATATCTTTCACCTCATATACTACAAAATCAACTAACCTAGGTTTAAAAGAGTTTACATGGTTCACAAACGTAATTATTTTATCATTATCCAAAAATAATGAATTAGAAAATAATTAGATGAGAGAACATCGAACAAATGGAGCCTAGGGAGATCAAAAACCCTAGAGAGAGAGGAAGGAACTTGAATCGTATAGAAAGGGTTCACCCGTAGACTCTGAGGCACGAAGGGAGAGACGAGTGACGATGAGAATGATAATCGATTACAAGGGAGAATTTCGAGGGGACAGTGAAAAGGCAGAGCTTCTGCTTTCTGTGGGCTTCTACCTTCACTCCTTTCAATGGTAGGATCTTTTGGGGATTTTTCCTTCATGGGGTCAATTCGTACGAATTAATTTTTGGGATTCATCTGGGATATGAAACCCGTTTTGCGTTTTTCTTTAGGTAATAGCATATCCTTAAACCCAAATTGAAATTCAAATGGTTGTAGAACTTGACAGTTTTTGGGTTCTCTGCTTGATTTTCATGGTGCATTTTGCAACTCCAGAAACTAGTTCAAATGAGTACAATTTTTTAGTTCGGCAATAATTGGATCAAAATTGAACTCATTTTCTTTAGTTTAAATTCTAACCCTTAAACTATTTTTCTTTTGGACCACCTCTTGAATATACCAACTTTAATCTAGTTAACAAAGAACTAGTTCAAACAATATATTGGAATTGACAAACACACCTGAAGGTACACAAATCTATTTGAATCTTTTACAGTGGTATCCATATTAGCAGATACATCTATCTGACTTTATTAAGACAACATATATAGATATAGTACTGTTACTGAGTATTTACATTTCACAGTAAATATATGTTGATCATATAATTATAATTATTTTAATCCATTAATTAATGAATTGAGGTTAATTTTGATGATCAAGGGATCTAATCTTAGCTTTTCAGATATAATGAACATATATCAATGAACTCTATTGTATCATTTATACTATTTTTTTCAGAGTAACGTCGTTTTTCACATATGTTTGATCCGCATATATATTTGCATGTATTTTTGTATCCATGTTTGATTTTTGCGAATATAGATATGAATTTTCCTTCAACACACGTATGTATCGGTATATATATTTGTGATCTGGTAAACGTATTTGCATCTATAATTGTGATTGGTAAACGGATATGAATATGGTAAGTATCACATCCGATCTGTATCTAAGTTATTTGCATCCCCGGTGACAATACATGAAATTTAAATATTTATAAACCTATATGTTGACTTCATGCAATGTAAATTTTAGGTAAGAAACAAAGATTCAATATTCTTAAAACCTTGTTGTAACTTGTTTGTCTTAAAAAGTTTACAAACACATTGCTTTATCAATTTAATAAACAGATTTTTTACATCAAACAACTTTTCAATTCTACATACACACTAACATTTAACATCTCTTTGAAAAATTGAAAAACTTAAACAGATTTTTTAATGAGTTCAAGATTTTTATTGGTGCCCATTTTTTCACACTCTTTATTGAGTTAGTATACATACATACATATATATGGACAATGGTTAAAGCAAATTTATAAAATGTAGGATATGGGGACACGCATACACACACATATACAATTATACATACATGATCAAATATTGAATGAAAATATCAATAACACTTGTACGATTCTTTCTATTATCTATAACAATAAAGAATCTAGTTAAATCAAACTAAGAATAAGGTTTAACAATAAAAGTTTAGTTTTGACTACATGGGGTACTACGATGGGTGTTTGTCAAATATTTAAGTAATGGGTTTTAGTTTTAGGGTTACAATTGATTTTTTAACCTAATATTACCAGAAAAACTAGTTTGAGGTGTAAGTAATGGGAAAATCAGGTTTTTCTTTGAACCACATATGTCAATGTGTGTCCGTAGATTGTCGTGTCCATGTTACCTAGGTAATTATTGATCTATAAATGAAAAACTTAGCTCCCAAGATTTTGTGAGAAAATAATTAGAGGCAAAGCAGGACAGAACTAATAAGGGTTGTTAATGGATCGAATCCGAACTGATAATTTGAAGCCAATAGCAATAGAGACTATTAGATATGAATCTGAAATAATCCCACTAAAGTACTTAGTTTGACTATTTGCATTGTGAATTTGTGATCTAATATTTTAATAGATCACAATTGGTTACCATATTTTATTAGATCACAATTTGTGATCTAATATTTTAATAGTTTTTGTCTTTAGGCCCAATTGGTTACCATATTTTATCTTTAAACCCAACTATTTTTTTCCACCTTTGAACCCAATCATTTGTATGTATTTATCTCTAAAGCCAAGTTCCCAAATATAATACATAAGTATGTGAAACCCCTTAAAATTTTCAAAAATCCCAATTTATCCCCTCTCACTACGTTCTTTCTCTTACCCAACGCCCTTCACATCGCATTTAATGTGTTTGCTAGCACGAAGGAGAGAAAGAAATGGCAGAAGGATTCCTCCATTTCCCTCTCTCGTCTTCTCATTTAATTCCCTCTCTCTCCTCCTCCTCTACTTCTTCTTTCATTCTTCCACTCTTATGAACCCAATAATTACTCCTCCACTCCATTAATGCATAGGGTTTGATTACTTGACTTTGGTGGAGATTCATCTCTTTTTGGGTATTTTTGAGGTATAAATTTTCTCATTTATTCAACTCGTAAATTTGTAGCATTACTTGCTCATTTTCTTCATCAAAATTATTTCACATTATTATTCATGAATTCTCATGGTTGTTTATTACAGTTAGTATGAAATAATAATACTAAAAAATTAAAATGTTAACTTTAATTTTAGAATTATGATTTAATTTCAGAATTATGATTTTAATTTCATAATTTGATTTTGATTTGTTGTGAGCCCAAATTTTATAGTTACTTAAATTTGATTTAAGTTAACTATCTTTGATGAAATTTGCACACTTTCGTTTATTTTTGGTGATAAACAGAGGTGGATGAAGATTTGTACTGTGCATTAATGGACTTTAAGGAGATAATCACTTTTTTTAATTGAATGTCAATGGCAATTACAATGATTTAGTGATTGCGGTGCAAACTCTAATTGCTTGTAGTGCAAACATGATGCACTTGACTTACAAAGTCCCACAGACAAGAACTTTTTGTGCGTGTATGTGATGACGATGTCTTGATGATGTTCAATATACATCGACATTGCAAGGAGAAGATAGTTATTATGCATGTTGAGATGAATCAAGAGGTATTATTTAGGGGAAGTTGGAAGCTCTAGTATGATTTCTCTTGCATGGCACAATGCAATTAAAAACGTTGATCAAAAGTTTGATGATGTTAAGCATTGCTGCCGGAATCTAAGCAATTACTCTATTGCTCTAAGTTTCAACTTTAAATTCGTGAAAATTAACGCAAAAGAGTGAGATGCGATACTATAAATGGATGGTTCGTTGCACCCGTCGTAGAGATGGTGATCGATTCTATATGAAAGAAATTGGTCCATCTCACACTTGTTTAGGAGAAGGCATAAGAAAGGAAGGATAAAGACGAGCATCTCGTAAGCGGAACACTAAGCACCTCAAATCCATCTTGAAGAAACAACCCACCTATCGCCCAACTGATTTTCAAAGGAAGCTTTCTACGGAATTTGGTTTGAACATCCCTTATCATAGAGTTTTGTGGGGAAAAAGCTAGCTCAACAAGAATCATATGGTGATACTAAACATTCATATGACCAACTCCAATGTTATAAGGACAAAGTGATGGAAACTAATCAGGGATCAAATGTTCACTTGGAAACTAGTCCGGAATAAACATGTTTCAGAGTCTGAATTTTGCTCACTTCTATATGAAACCTCTCAAGGAGCTGCGACTTTATATGTATGACTTAAGACAACCTTGGACTATTTAAATTCCCCCAGTAAGATCTATATAAATTTCCATACATAAGACTACCCAGGTCATTTACCTTTCTATGCCGTGTTGCTATAACCTACATACTACCTTTCTATGCAATCTATTGAAAACGGCAAAATGGCTAGATTGGTATATTTTTTCGAGGCTTGATGACATATTAGTATATTTTCTTTTAGTTTTGTCAGATTCGTATATTTTTCAACTCCGGCGCCGTATAGGTCTTAAATTTAGCCAGAGTTACTGTTTCGGCCAAATTTAGTTATTATTCCGGCCAAAAATCCCAACAGTAACCCCGGTCAAATTTAAGGGCTATATAACGTCAGAGTTAAAAAATATACCAATCCGACAAAACTAAAAGAAAATATACCAACATGTCACCAAGCCTCGAAAAAATATGCCAATCTAGCCATTTTGCCTATTGAAAACTGTTAAAATTTTGGTTAACACGCATATGAGCTCATAAGCACACGTAAATAGAAAAACATACTAATTTAAGCCATTGATTAACTATTTTAAGCTGATCAAAAGCTGTCATTGAAACTAAAACACAAAAAAAAACCAAATCAGAAAAACCCAATTACAAAACATAGGAAATAGGGTTTTGAGGAGAGCAGAGAGATTACTTACAGAGGAGAAGGCAGCGGCGTGAGTAGGAGGCGGTCAGGCGAAACGCTGGAGGAGGAGGAGGCGGCGGTGGAGATGAGGCTTCTAAGGTTTTCCGGCGGTTGTCGGCGTCGCAGGCGGAGTTGAGGATGAAAGCGGCAGAGACAGCGACGGAGGAGCTCTAACGGCGCCGTGGTTGAGAGGCGAGGGAAGAGTGGACGGCTAGGGTTTGTGAAAATTTTCGGGTTTTCTTGGGGCTGATTCTCGGCTCAATTCAAAGAGGAGAGAAAGAGGAATCGGTTAGGGTTTCTTCGGGCCAAGAATTTGAGAGAAGTTTGGGTTTTTAGGGATTTTTCGACCGAAAGAGTGACAAAGGCGTGAGAGGGACGAGGAGAGAGCGCGGATTGTTTCTGGAGACTTGAGGGGGTAATTTTGGGGTTTTGTCCCCTAAAAGTACTAATAAATATTAAATACACATTAATTTGGCTTTCAAGGCAAATATGTAGAGACGGTTGGGTTGAAAGATTGAAAAATACATATATATGTACAGTTGAGGTTAGAGATAAAACAGGTAAAGTATTTGGGCCTGAAGACAAAAACACGTATTTTTACATTTTGCCTTTAAAAAGTGGGAGTCGAAAATTTTTTCCTAGATAAAAATATCCTTGACCCATTTAGACGATATAATATTAGGGAAAAATGTTATAAGGCCCCAAAAAAAAGATCCGGTTATGTATAGCCCCCCTGTATTTTTTTTTTTGTGATCAAACCCCCAATACCCAACTCAATAACGGTTCAGCCCCATTTTCATTTCTCAAGCAACTCTGAGAGCACAGTACCTCTCTTAAGACGAAACTGCCCTTGTAACTGTTCGTCCCCCCCCCCAATCTGCCCTCCCTCTTTCTCTTGCTCGCGCTCTTTTCTCTGCAGACCCACAAATTTCCCTAAAAACTCGAATCTCCTTCAGCGGTCGAACCCAATTTGAAAACCCTAGTTTGACTCTAGCGGCCAAGAAACTCACAAGGAAAATGCCGAAGAAAATTATTAGAAAAATGGCTAAGAACCCTAAACGACGCACGGGTGAAGTAGACCAAATTCAAACGGAAGCGGACGTTCGTCACCGGCGTCGGTCGGCACGACTTGCGCAGGAGGAACTACCAAATTTATCCCCCTCCACCTCCGCCTTGATATCTCACGCCAGCGATTCTGTTCCGCCATCCTCTGATGATGAGGAGAGTAATGAGGCGGTGGAAACCCTATTGAGCATGAAAAGTCAGAAAAATCGAGAGCGCAAGAGGAGACGCTCGCCGGAGGATGTGTCCATGTCAAAGAAGAAGTAAGTTCCCAATCAATTGAGGGTTTTTGAATTTAATTATTTTAAATGAGTGATGTTGATTTTAATTGTGGTTTATGGGTTCCTTTTTGAAGGAAATGGCAATTGTTGATAGGTAGTAGCAATGCATGTCAATAATCTGTGTTTGTTGTTAACGTTTACTCTTAAGAGTCAACTATTAGCTAATCATGTTAATAAATCATGATTTTGACTATGTTAATGCATTTTCTGTTGATTGTTACGTAATTTAAAGTTGAGTTGAACGGCTAGTTAAGAGTAAATTGTTGTTCATTCAGGATAGTTGCTGCATTAGGTGATATTAGCCCAGTGCCTGTCTTGGAACGTATTGTTCCTTCATGCAAAAACTGCAACCAAAACTGAAGAAGTGGCATTGGGATGCCTACAAGGGCTGTAACTTTGAGCACTATGTGTTCTTTGGTCCCCAGCACGCGATCGACGGGCACTAGAGTATGTGCTCAGCCATTATACTGACGAAACTGATGAGTTCTCTTTTCCCGACCCCAAGAGCGCAGTGAAATTTGATGAAGAGTGGGTGCATACTCACACAGGCTTTCCCATTAATGGGGAGCTGATCTACGGGAATAGAGACCCTCACAACAGACTTTGGAGGTAATACTTTGAAGATAAGAAAGAAATGCTAAAGGCCAAGCCAAAGGCAAAGGCAAAGACCAAGGCTACACCAGAAGCTGGTAGCATGAGGAGATATGTCGAGGAGTTACTGGAAACACTTGTAGAGTCCTCTGATAATAAGGACATTGAGGATTTTGTGCTGCTTCAGATATTATACCAATGTGCAACGATTTGGTGCCCCAACAGCTCTCAAGGCATCCCAAGACAATTGTTTCAATATGTAGATAGTATCGAGAGAGTGAAGACCATTGCATGGGGTAAATTTATTTTTGATGAGACGAAGAGAGGCATTCAAATTGCTGTTCAAGGGATGAGGAAGCCAGGGGTTACATACGTACCTGGATGCATGCCGCTCATCCCTGTATGTTGCATGATCATCTGACATTTTATCTAGTTAATAGGAGTCATGGTACCAGGCATTAGAAAACATATACAACATTGGACGTTAATAGGCTAACATGTTGAAATCAACATGTTAACATGAAGTTTGACATATAAAAGTAAAAGTTAACATTAATAGGTGAAAGTTAACATGTTAACATAAACTTTAACATATAAAAATTAAAGTTAACATTAATAAGTGAAAGGTAACATGTACCCAGTAATGTTAACATGGGTTAGTGAAGTGAAGGCTAGCTATTTAGTATGTTGTAGTTCAAGAAAGAGTTATGCAAGTTAACTATTTTGACAATTGATCCTTCGATTCTGACAGCTTTGGTACTTTGAGATGACTGGCATTAAAAAACCAGCCCTAAACTTGAGGTGGAAGCCTCCGATGACCAACTGGGTAAGGGTCGGAGGGACGGCTGGATCTCTGAGGATGGAGACAATCGTCTCTAAGGCCAAGAAAGCAAGCATAAAACTTGAGGCGAAACCAATTTCACTTAGCATTGGATGGGGTGAAAAATACCCTCAAATGGAGCCCAGCAGGAAGAAGATTGAATTCACTCGCTTTGGGAAAAATAGAAGCCCAACATCCGGGAAGCAAGAGAAGAAAAGGAGTAATGGGCAGACCAAAGAGCAAACTAGGCCGAGAAAGAGAAGAAAGGAAAAAAAGCAGAAGGCTGGGAAGCAAGAGAAGGTGATGGGCAGACCAAAGAGCTCATCTATGGGTTACGTAAGCAGCAATGACTCTTTACACATCACAGCATATTTACATTGAGTTAAATATTTTATCGTTATCATTAATTCATTTTCAATTTGCATTGTTTCATGTTAACTTTCTTTTATGAGTTTTCATAACTATTCTGCTTAATCTTGTGGATTTACATGGGTAAAGGGTATATGGTTTACTTTTTAGATTTTGTCCCAGCATATCGCTGATGCTTTTTCAAGAGAAGATGAAATAGATAAGTTGGCGCCTGCAGAGCAAATTCATTTTTGGAGGAATACAGCCAATATAAATTAGAAATTGCTCCACGCTGTCAAGCGTAGCAAGCGCCTTCAATGGGATGCTTGCTCCCAGGAGATACATAGGTTGAACAAGAAATTGGAGCGCTATGAAGGGACCGCAGACTTAATTGACCCCGAAGACCTAAAGAAGAATGTGAAGGGGATTATGTCACAAAATGATAGGCATAAAGGGTATGCACAGAGGAAAATAAGAAAGAGTTTTGATTCTAATGATAGGGGTGATATGGGTGATGATGGAATTTGTTTTGATTATGACGATGTAACGAACATTAGCAAGGAAGCTTCTCATATTGTGGATGTTGTTGCGCAAACAGAGAAGGAGGCAGAGAAAGGTGAATGGCAAGAGATGGAGAAGAAATAGGAAGAGAGAGAAGATGAGAAGAAAGAGGAAGAGAGTGGTGATGAGAAGAAAGAGGAAGAGCAAGAGATGGAGATGAAAGAGGAAGAGAAGGAGGCAGCGAAGGAGGAATGGCAAGAGATGGAGGTTGAGAATGTGGGGAAAGCTGTGGCTAGTGAGGAGGATAAGGATCAGGTGCAAGTTTATCGGAAGAGATCGAAGAAACTTGTGTCAAGGGGTATTAGGGGACCAAGTACCAGAAAGAGGACTCGCTCACATCTAGTCCGAACCCCTTTCACTGAAGGAAAGAAGAAGGACGGTCGTCCAGATATAATTAACATTTAACATATCACCACACAAGGAGGAAGAGAGGGATAAAATCAGGTTTTATTGTAAGCCTGAGGAATGCACTTGGGATTTTCTTGGGAAGAGGAAAATCAAGAAGAAGGAGGAGGCTCTATTGAAGTTGCTAAACGAGTGTATTCCCAACATTGATGATTTTAGCATACGTGTGATTGATAGTGAAGGAACCTTCGTTCACAACTTTAGAGTGCCTCAGCATATAGCAGCAAAGCTCACACCAGACGAGAGCAGATGGCTCTCTCAGTTCTGCAATGAAACAGCCCATCAGTAAGTTTAGACATTCTGATTAACCGTGGCTACAACATGTTAACTTTCATTATTACATGTTAATGATTATAGGTTTATGTTAACTTTCATAGTTACATGTTAATGATTATAGGTTTATGTTAACTTATACCTATTTGTGCCAACGTTTGCCAAATCATGTTTATATTTGCAAATCCAGTTAACATATAGCCTGGTTTATGTTAAAATTTGGATCTTATTGTTATGTTTCAGGTCACGTATTATTGTTAAGACATTGAACAGCAGCATTGATTCGACGGAGCTTCTTTATCTTCTACATGGTGGGCGTATCGATGACCATGCAAGTTCAATATGCTACTCTCAATATGCTAATCTTTTATGCAATACTTGGATTTACTGCATGTTGAGATGTTATGCAATCTAATTTATATCTTCTGTTAACAGGTCATGAAAGCTCTTGTAGATAGGCTCAGCACATAGCTAGAGAGGCCAGAAATTGGTTCTGTTGGCATGAAATATGGGGTCGTGTCAGCATTTTTCTGCGTAAGCATTAGCTTCAAACTCCCAATGTTTTTTAACTCCTGTTTACAAATGGCTTATCATTATTTGCTTGGCAATACAGCATAGCATTTACGCAGTGAACCCAGATTACGCACATTTATACACCTCGTTCATACAAAAGCATGTCGCCGCAAATAAATCAGTACTCCTTATCCCGCTTGTGCGGCATGACCACTGGCATGTTGTTGAAGTAAGGTTGGACGAGGATGTTATCAAGCATTACAGCTCTGTAGGCCACAGTGCATACCTGGAGCCAGTAAATAAAGTAATTGATTTCATGGATCACATGAAGGCTGGTTTTGATCCCAATAATGTTTGGAAGAAATTCCGATATGAAGCCGTCCCTTGCGAGCAACAGCGTGGAACATTAGTGTTTCACACACTTAAACATTTTCATTTTATTCAGCATCAAATATCTAACTATCTTTCCAATGTATATGATGTAGGTTTGATTGTGGGCTTTTCGTACCTTTATATATAACGGCTATAATACAAGGGACTGATACCAGTCAGGTAACTAATCCCGCTG